TGCTGGGACTAAAACCTAGCGGTTTCTAGTTAAAGGGCCCTGCCCCTCTACTCAGGATCAGACCAGTCATCACATCTGGGGATTAGGAAGGAATTTTGCTCCACAGCCAGACTAGTATGGCCTACAAAGGGGGTTGCCTTCCTCTGTAGCTGGGGACATAACCCTCTTCTTGGATCTCTCATGCACATTTTAAGAAACTTTACAGCAGCAGGACAGCGACCACTGTTGTCTCCCTGCTTGGCCTGTGGCAGATTAAGGTGCTATTCATTGTAGTTGTGCGACTGTTGATCGTGTTCTATTAGTAGGTTAGACGAGGATTTGTATAGTAAGTTTTGGATGGGGATGATCCTGCCTCAGGCATGGGCTTGCACTACACTTCCAGAGGTCCCTTCCAGCCTTACTTTTCTATGATTATGTGGTACTGCTCTAATATATTCAAAAAAGGAGTGTAGCAGTTGTCCTAACAATGTGTAAAACACTCTTTGCTGATAATTGAATGAGCTCCTACAAGGGTTGGATGCAACTTCCTCCCTAGTGTTATTAAATTACTTTAAGAGTACATAGACCACATTTATTTTTTGTTTTGGCACCTACTTACTTGATGGCCATTGAGTTAAAAGAACTATCTTAGTCTGCTGTTTTTATAGAAGTTGGTTATCTTCCCCTTCAGCACAACTTTTTAGGTAGCTGTGACACTAGTCTTACTGAATTGACCTGAAAATTGAGCATGTTAAAAGGAGAGTGCTGTTGAATGCTAGAGTCATTTGAGAAGGGGTAGAGAGCAGAAAGAGAAAGTACTTTTACAATTTAAAAAAAAAAAAAAAAAAGCAAAGTTACATTAAGGAAAAAGACTGATAGGTTGTAACTCTGTGTTAGGCCTTGTTAAAAACAAATGTACCGATGAGATAGGGAAGCTAGTTCACAGTGCTAACTTGATGTAGGAAGAGCCAATCGTTTTCCATGAACAGAGGATAAAATTGAATATATTTTCTTTACCGTGTATTCTCCACAGACTTAATTAGTAGCAACCTCTTTAGTCATTAGGAAGAAGTTTTAAAAGCATTATCATCACAGCTGGTCAGTGGCTTTTCATATTGTACTCTGACACCTTTCTCCCTTTTGTTTGAAGTTTGGGTACTGTTTGAGGGAAAAGCCAACTTTCGTGGCTTCTCTGTATTGTTTTGTACAGGTCTAAAGGGTCTGCGGTGATTTTTATAAAACAGTTGTCTGAAAGGAAAATCAGGCCTCTCCTATACACGCCTTTTGCAACAGGAGGGATTACGAGTTTCGTCCAAAACTTTAATCACGTTGTATATGGTGGTACTGTCAGGCAGAGCAAGTGCCATTTTTTCCTACAACGATTGAATCTGAATTCTGCCCTCAGCCAAGAATCGTGTGGAAAGCGGTACCAATGGGCAGCAAACGAACGTGAGCAGATGTCACTGAAAATCAGCAAGCTACTTCCGATGTATTGCCAAAAGTAAAGTCTGCTAACCTCTGCCCGTAGCTCATCTAAAAGGATGGGCTCATGGGTGAAGGGCAGAAGAACTTGACTCGAGTTCACCTGCGGGTTCAGACTCCGTACGGCCTCGGCCAACTCACTTACGCCCTTTGTGCCTCTTCTCGTCTGCTGGGACTGTGATACTTTGCTACCTGTACCTCCCCCCTCTCCTCCTCCTCCTCCCGTACGGCCCAACCTGTCGTTTGTGAAGTGCTGTGATACCCGTAGATGGAAGGAGCTCTGTAGCCCTACCAAGTCTTATAATAAACTCGCTCCTACGTTCCTTGCTTGTGCAGCCTCCGTGTGTGCTTTCCCGGCAGAAGGAAACGCCGCGCCGCGCGAACGGGGCCGAGAAACGCGGGAAGCTTCGCGCCCTTCGCCCGCCCGCCCAGCACCTAGGGCCTGGGAGTGGGGCAGGGCTGCGGGGGGAGGGGACTGCCCCGCTGGCCGGTAACGGGGTCCCAGCTCCCCTCGCACCGCTGCGGAGGAGCTGGCACTTGTCCCTGCTGCGGCCTGGGCCTTGTGCCCCTGCCTGCGGGAAGCAGCTGGGCCCACCCGGGGAGAACACCACCCCACGCCCCTTCCAGCGCTTCTGGACACCGGGGCATGGAACATGCGCTTCGCCTCTGCTCCCCGGCAGGTGTGCCACCGGAGCCGGAAGCACCACCCCGGGATTCTGCTTCCGGGCCGAGCACCACGCCCCCCGGAAGCCTAGGGCGCCGTGACCCGGAAGTGGCGCTTTGCCCCGGTCACGTGGCGGCGGCCGAGGCCCGGGCTCGGGAGACAGCGGCGGCGGCGGCGGCAGGTCCGGGGGAGGCTCGTCCCGCGGGGAGCGATGTGGGGCTCACCCTTCATGCTGTATCCGATTGAATTCCTCCGCGAGGCTCCAAAGCGACGCGCCGGGCGCGGGGGCAGCAGGGCTCGTCCTCCACCCCGCCGGGTTTCGGGGCCTTGTGTCCCGCCCTGAAGCCCCCGGGTGGTGCTGAAGGCTCCAGTGGGTCTTGGGCGCCGGGGAGCTGATGTCAGGCCCAGCCTTAGGGGAATGGGGTGTTAGATTGGCGCTCCCCTCCTCGCTGCGTGCGCGCGCACAGCTGGCATTTGCCGCTGGGCTTGGTTCCTAGCTGGATGCAGGTGGCGCAGCGTGTAGCAGTTCCCGTTCGCTAATGGGAGCAGCTGCAGGAGCAAGCAGAAGGCATCGGAGAGGAGAGTTAAAAGGAAAAAAAAAAAAAAAGCAGGGGGCGGGGGGAGGGTCTGCGTGGTGTCCAGAAACATTGCAGAGTTTGGCTCCATTTTCCTGGTGTTTTCTTTTTCAGTTTCTGAGCTCAGGAGCGCGCCTCTCCATGACTGCCATCTCCTCAACACCCGGTTGCAGTTTATTCCACCCAAGACATGTTCATTTGGCTGTTTGAAAACTCTTAACACTCATCCTGGTGAATACCTCTGCCTTCAGGGAGACCCCCTGTACCTCTCTGGGGGTATGAGGGCAAAGGGAAATATATAACACAAGCTGCGCTCGGTGAGCTGCGGTTGAATTGCGAAGTTTGCCGGTGTGCGTCCTTCGAAGAATAGGTCACCATGGCCACCGACTCGGAGATTTTGCATTTTCAGTTTGAACAGCAAGGAGATGCTGTGTTGCAAAAGATGAACCTCCTGCGGCAGCAGAACTTATTTTGTGATGTATCAATCTACATCAATGACACCGAGTTTCACGGACACAAGGTGATTTTTGCTGCCTGCTCCACATTTATGAGGGATCAGTTTTTGCTCAATCAGTCAAAACAGGTGCGAATCACTATCTTGCAGAGTGCTGAGGTCGGCAGAAAGCTGCTGCTCTCTTGTTATACTGGAGCGCTGGAGGTTAAAAAGAAGGAGCTTTTGAAGTACCTGACTGCGGCAAGTTACCTTCAGATGGTTCACATTGTAGAGAAATGTACCGAAGCTTTGTCCAAGTACCTGGAAATTGATGCTTCTATGGAGAGCGGCAGCCAAAGCACAGAGAAATGTCATTCCTCAGACATGGAACTGAGAAATAGGGATGACAGCGTAGATAAGGACTGTGAAATAATTGAGATTACTGAAGACAGCCCTGATAATTTAGACTATCATGTAAAACAAGAGAAGGAGGGTGTCCTACAGCCTGCAATGCAAAGTTTAGTATCGGAAAGAAAAGACACACAAACACCAGAAATATCCACAGTTAAAATAGGATATAAAGATGATGAAATCTGTATCTTCAGAATGGATTCGATGAGTGCAGCTAATGTGGACAATGATCCCTTCCCACAGCCTTGCACCTCTTCCAAAACGAGTTTATATTTCTCAGAAACACAGCATTCTTTGATCAATTCCACTGTTGAGAGCAGAAATTCAGACATGTCAGGAAGTTATTTCCAGACCTTTGTCAATGACACTACTGAAGGAAACTCTAGTGTAGCAAGTGGGTTCCAGAGTTTGGAGGATTCTGGTTATTCATGGCGACATCAGTGTCCTAAATGTCCCCGAGGATTTCTCCATCTTGAAAACTATCTCAGACATCTAAAAATGCACAAACTGTTCTTATGTTTGCAGTGCGGGAAAACGTTCACACAGAAGAAGAATCTCAACAGGCATATCCGAGGGCACATGGGCATTCGCCCGTTCCAGTGCATGGTTTGCCTGAAGACCTTTACTGCCAAAAGTACGCTGCAGGATCATTTGAATATTCACAGTGGGGACAGGCCATACAAGTGCCATTGTTGTGACATGGACTTTAAACACAAATCTGCCCTAAAAAAGCACTTGACTTCAGTCCATGGAAGGAGCAGTGGTGAAAAACCAATCCTGGACACTATCACAAAAATCAAGATAGACTATGATTAGCAGCCCTCTGGGTAGATCTGGAGCCTGGCTCTACGTAGAATCCTCTTGTAGCAGAATCCCAGGTGTTCTACAGATTCCCATTTAATGGAGACAAGTGCAAATATATGTCTGTCAGAAAATGATCAAGATGGGTCATATTTATACTAACCCTGCCTGCTGTGTTTAAGCCTAGCCTAGTATTGTTGCAACTCTTTGTATGGTCTTTGCCAGTTGAAAGTAAACTGCAACACAGGGGAACAGTTTGTACTCCTTTACTGCTTCCTCTTAAAAAGAGACACTTTTCTGCTTGTCTTTCACCCTTCCTTTTTCCACTGAAGGGTGGTGCCATTGAAACTGCAATAAATTGAGGCCAGAGCAGTGGCCTTCCCAGTGTTTAATGGATGTTCATGTGGCTAGTCATCCCCATTCACTTCATGTTTCAGTCCAGGGGGAAGTCACTCCTCACTTCATTACACTTTGCTGACTCTTTCAGCAAAAAAAGTCAGGGCCTGACACTCAGAAGTGTGGTTTTTTAAAACAATGTCCCTCTCCCCCAAACAAAAACTGAAGCCTTTATGAAGAGAAAAGCAGAAAAAAGGTGTATAGATATTCCTACCGTGCAGTTCACTTTTAATTGGACAATCTCATTAGAGAAATCCAAATTTTATTACAGTCATTTTCTGAATTTTTCTGGCACCCACTCTTCTGACAGCTTTGTTTTCACTGATATGAAATGTTTCATACACTTCTGTTTCACACACTCTAAACTAGTCCTGTCTTCTGTCTGTATTCTCTGATTTTTGTCTTTGGTTTTTGTAAATCGTAGATGTATGTTGCCAGTGTGAGAAATCTGAACTGTGTGCTGTCCCGTAATAGAAATCTATCTAATTGGAAGGCATCCTTTATATTTCATTGGGATCAGTCTAGACATGGGGTTTGCTCACTGTCTAATTCTGTGATACAGAGAAGCAGTGCCATATATGTTTGGGTAGATGTGTTCATAATCTGTCAGATCGTTTCTGTTTTCTCTCTAAGCATCAAAATGCTCTAGAACTCAAACCCTTGCTCTGCCTATTACATGGAAAAACATGTAAGCCAGTCAATGTGGTATACATAATACAATTATTGTAATGGAAAATGCTATTTATTTAAGATCTCAATATGTACGACATATATAAACTTTACGCCCAATTTCAGAAATACAGTTACGAAGTTCTTATGACTGAGTTGAAGAAATTCTGGCATCTGTGCTCTGCATAATTTGGAAGTTTGGTAAGTATTTTGTGATGGCTGCTAATAGATGACACATCTTATCCTATGATCTATCTAGAAGCATTATTTGGGGTAAGTGGGGCTTGGGTACACATGATATTATATAGAATCATAGAAAAGGAGGGTTGAAGGGACCTCAGGAGGTCACATCTAGTCCATCCCCCAGCGCAAAGCAGAACCAGCCGCAACTCTACATCACCCCAGCCAAGGCTTTTTTCTAGCCGGGTCTTAAAAACCTCCAAGGATGGAAACCCTACAACCTAAATATAACTTCCTCCTATCTGTAAAAGCAGTGTTCAACTGTCCCAGTGTACAGACTGTTTTCCCAATTGAAAACTCAGTTTTGGAAGTGTTAATAACAGTCATTTCACTGTCTTTGAGGTTTGGTTTGTACTAAGCTGTCCGCTAGATAGTTACGCAAAACTGATAAACTCCCCCCCTGATAAACTGATATGTATAAGTAATACAGCAGCCACTGATACTTTGGATTATGCAGGTATCAAGAGGTCCCAGCTGGGATCGGGGCTCCATTGTGCTAGGTGATGTGTAGTCATGGAGAGATGCTCTGTGGGGCAGGGGTTATGTTGTCTATTCAGATTGTATCTCCTATCCCTATTTTATAGTCTAGGAACCAAGAGAGCTTGACTTCTATAGGGCCCCTTCATGATGCAAAATTCATGTGACTGACTTGCAGTATGTAAAGTTAAGCATTTGTGTGTCTATAGGAATAAGGCCAAACTTCCAAGGAGGTATGTGATATGACTGGATATTAAAATAGTCCGAGTCCCAGTGCTGTGTGTTAACTAACCTGTCTTTTAGCTCTCTCTCCTTTTATTTGGCACTGCTTCCTTTGTGGTCTTCTAACTATGACAGTTGTATTTGCCAGACTGAGGAATTGGATGTTTTTATGTTTGTTGGGTACTGATGCACGATGAATTTTTTTAGGTTTGTTTTTTTTTTACTGTGTTTTTCAGTTTGAAAAGTGGCTAGTTTGTGCTTGCAGTAATTGTTTTTCGTGGCACATCTAGTTTGATTTCGTGTTCTTTATGTGCATTCACAGTCCTTACATTTACTGTTTGGATCTGCTGGTTCTTCAGAAAATAACAAATGTGGAGGGTTCATTTTTGGTTGCCATCTTATAATATTAACATTTAAGGGTCTGAATTTCAAAACATGCGTTTCTGCATTTACAGTTTCGTGACCATTAATGGTAATTCGGATGTATGTATAGGTTTGTGCCTGCAAATTTGCACACTTCTAAACTCTGGTCCATCACATATGAGAGAGAGAAAAAAATAGGAAAAGCAGTGATTTCTTTTTGGTTTGTTTTTTAACAAAAATAATTTATATTGTAGCATAATAGATAAATGTTGTGCAGATTTGGAGCAGATACCTTCTATTGACTGTTCTTGAGGTTGTTCAGCTGCAAACGTGTTTCTGGTAAGTGCATGAATCTCACTGATATGAATTCATATCAGTCGTTCCCTGGCTTTTGTTTGTCTCTGTTACATGGCTGTGGGTATGCATGTTTCTTAACTGATGAAGGGGGAAGTAGAGGCTATGTAATCTTGATATGCGCCTTCAGTGAGAGCAGGATTGTTTCTTTCTGCTGTTCATAGTGCATGTGAATGAGAGGAAGTGGTGTTGTCTGATGGACCAACAGCATGTTTACCTCTTCAGTGGCTAAAATTTTTCCTTGGTAAACTTTATTATGAGAAAACAGACCATGCACATGTACCCTAAAAGATGTCTCCTTGTACCATTGTCTCCCTGTACCATTTTCTTACATGTAGCCATTTGCCATATTTATAACTTAATAAATTAAATGGAAATGAGACGTTTTATTTGTATATATTATATTTGAAGGTTTATGCAGCTTTGAAACTTAGTCTTACATTTAATGCTGTTGGATAAAGGGAGTTTCCCAATCCGATACTCCAAGCATGCTCTCAATTAGTTGTGCTGGTATCCTCAGCATATACATTAAAATCCCCACCATGCTGGTGTCCTTTTCAGTTCAGTAAGTATCAAAGAATCTTTGCCAGTTTAACTGACACCTTGTTGCCAGACAAATCCTCTCTCTGAAGGAAAGGATCAGACTTTTACAATCAATTGGTCAGGGTTGTGTTGTGGATCTCTGTGATCAGCCGTTAACAGTGGAGAAGGCCTTTATGATCATCCTTTGTGGACCTACCAGTGCCCTGGGCAGGAATATGTGAGAGAGGTGAAGTTGCACAAACAATCATGAAGCTTTGACACAAGACAAAACAGTCCAGTGTAATGCAGGATGCCTTGGTCATAGCATGTGCTCTGTTTCAGGGCATAATCACAGGTTGGGGTGGGGAGGCAAGGACGATGCATATCCTTGCACAGCATCTGATGGATTCAGAAAAGCTTCTGATATAGAGGGTTAGTCTATCTAGCTATGTAGATATATATATATATATAGAGCGAGAGAGAGGTCCCATCAGGGCTCCATCTAGCTAGGTGTATATATCTTTAGCTAGACAATATAATAATATCTTTTTACATTTTGTGTTATACATGCACAAACATAGAAAGATATGAGTAACCCTATATAGATTGGGTCATATATATGACCCAATATAGGGTATATGATGTAGGGTGTATATGACACAATGTAGCATATACTAACCCTATATATATGACCCAAATTAGATAGGGTTAGTATATTGTATTTCCTATATTGGAACATATATGTTCCAATATAGGAAATACAATATAGTGTATATATGACCTAATATAGGGTACACTAACCCTATATATATTGGGTGATAGGTTGGAGCAGACAAGCCGCTGTGCCCCTGGGGACAGCAGGGAGCAGGTGAGGGGGACGGAGCAGAGCAGCTGCGTTTCCAAGGAGACGGCAGCACCGACTGTGCCCTGCGGCCGGCGGCCACAGCTTCCTGCAAGAGGCAGCCGTGGCTCTCCCGCTGCTCAAGGCCTGGCGGGTTCATCTGTCTGTATAATCCCAACATACCTACCTATATAAACATATATATAGTGGAATGTGTGTGTGTGTGTGTGTGTGTGTGTGTGTGCGTGCGCGCACAACCATATAAAGATGTGACTAACCCTATCTATATTGGGTCATATAGATAGGGTTAGTATATGCTACAATGTGTCATGTACACCCTACATCATATACCCTATATTGGGTCATATATAGAGATAGATAGGTGTGTGTGTTTACACACACACAGATATCTATATCTATGACCTAATATAGGGTACAGTATATGATTTAGGGTGTATATGACACAATAGTGTGTACTAACCTTCTATATATGACCCAAAATAGATAGGGTTAGTCATATCGT